AGTGATAGTATGAATATGAAATGTGGTCGTTGTNTGATAGTATGAACATGAAATGCGGTCGTTGCCTAAATGAGAATTATGAAGTGTTGTATGTCCCAATGGTTTCAACTATAGTTGAATGCTTCTGAAATAATGTATGTAAATGACTTCGATTGTTAAGTCCCCAAGAGTCATTAACCTACATAATGACCTCAAGAGGTCAAGGGAATGAATAAAGAGATGGAAGGGAGATGTCCTTTGTTAAATGATGATGAACCTTAAGAAAAAGAATTGGGCCCATGTGCCATTGAAATCGACTTATTGATTTACCATGCATGTGCTAATGTAATGAGTTGTGTTTCTCCATGATGAGCATAAACATGAAGTATTCCAATGATATGAGGAATGACGACCTTAAATGTAATGACAAACTATGTTGCTTTAAGTTTATATATGGTATTGTGATTGGGATTACACCTCCACCCGCATACATTAGGGTGAAGCGGCAAGGCCGCTTTGTGTAGGGATTATGATATTGTGATACAACTCCACCCGTATACATTAGGGTGAGGCGGCAAGGCCATTTTATATAGAGTTTTGGTATTGTGGAATACACCTCCACCCGCATATATTGGGGTGAGGTGGCATGACCGCTTTATGTAGGGATTGTGGTATTGTGATACACCTCCACTTGTGTATATTGGGGTGAGGCGGTAGGACCGCTTTGTGTAGGGATTGTGGTATTGTGGAATACATCTCCACCCGCGTATATTGGGGTGAGGCGGCATGACCGCTTTGTGTGGGGATTATAGTATTGTGATACACCTCCATCCGCATATATTGGGGTGAGGCGGCAAGGCCGCTTTGTATTGGGATTGTGGTATTATGATACACCTCCATCCGCATATATTGGGATGAGGCGGCAGGACCGCTTTGTGTTGGGATTGTGGTATTGTGATACACCTCCACCCGCGTATATTGGGTTGAGGCGGCAGGGTCGCTTTGTGTAGAGGTTGTGATATCGTGATACACCTCCACCAGCATATGTTGGGGTGAGGCGGCAGGGCCGCTTTGTGTGAGGGTGGTTATAAAGGATCCCCGACTTAATATCGATAAATTTGAATGGAATCTCTTAATAAATTTGTTTGACGTTAACGGCTATCTAAGCCCATTTATTGTTACCATAATTCATCATATTCATGTTGTATTTTCAAGCCCTTGAATAGGTGTATTTGTATCGTGTAAGTGAACGTTGTGAACGATTTATGAGACGCATAGGTGTATAATATGATATGTGAATACTTAGGATGGTCTACGAAATGTGTATATGTAAAATAAGGGAGGAAGGTGCCACTTTTGTTGGCATTGTTTGTACATGTTGATACAATTACATTATATTATGTATTCCACGTATTGTTCATATGGCGCAGTTGATCCTAAAGAAGGTTAGAATGATGCAAGTATAATAAGACTTGAAATGTGATTTTATTGGATGTTTCGTAGTTTCTTGATGTACTTTATTTGCCTCTTATTTGAGTTACCGTATTTTCATATGTTGTTTTGACTGCCTTACATACGAGTACTATTCCACACGTACTCACGTCCCTTTTGTTGGGGGTGCTGCATCTTTTAATGGATGCAGGTATACTTCTACAGGATGATATGGACCTTTGATAGGGATCTTCTTTACTACTCAGCTTATGGTGAGCCCGCTACAGTTCTAGTGAGTGTTTGGGTCTAGTTAATTTTATGTATATAGGTATCTATTGTCATAGAAGCTCCATGTATTCTGTGGGTCATGTAATTAAAGATTTGAGTGTTGGCATGTATTTATGTATACAGTATTAACAGCTATTTATAGAGTTGTGTAACCACCACGAGAAAGAAAATATGGGCCATTCAGCCAAATGTATTTAATATGAAAGTTGAGATCTTATTATGTTATGGTAAATTATGCGTGAGTAATGATGAGAGGTTAATGCAAACTAGGCTTGCTCGACTGGGTGTACTCGGTTGAGCGCCGGTCGCGCTCCTTGATTTTGGGGCGTGACATTAAAGGTATCTAAAGTGATGGTATCTTACCGAACACTTCTTTATAGACGATGTTTTTTTTGTATATGTTTCTTTCTAGTGCTTTGGTTGTTCTGCCATAACCAGAACTCTTGTTGTCGATTTTGATATCTCTCTTGAAAGTGCAAGATACAGTTATTCGTGTAAGAAAACATATTGTTGTAAATATAGTCCAATATTTAGGATGTTTCTCCTTGTGCTTTATCTATTATAACTACAAAACATAAACATAAAATTATTTTCACACAAATTTAAAAGGATATTCTTTTATTTCGGAAGATGAAAGTTGAATTTGGGGATAAATACATACTTAGAAGCATATTGACCAGTATCATAAGTTCTGCACGTATGACGTTATTGTCAAAACTTCTATATATCATATGTGTACTATTACATAAGCTATTCAACGGATCTAAGTTTTCAGTAGCATGACATGTATATTTTTCTTCAAAATCAACCTATATCCAATGCAAGATCAATTTTAACTTAGTCTATTATATATATGGTGACACTAACATACATAAGAAATAATGAACTTGACAACAAACATGTACGGTGGAAGACCATTTGGTATTAAAGTATTTAAGTATTCTTCTTGGTTGTAATTGTTGGTGTCATCTTCTACTGAGTCAAAGCTGAAAAATATTTTATTTTTGCCATAAAACTTAGTAATCAACATTTTATTTAGTTGATCAACATATTCATTTCTGCTAGCTAAGATTGCTCTTTAATTTCTATCATGTAATTTGCACAAATTATATTTTAATCTAATGATAAAATATTTTCCTTATTAAATGCACTACTATTTCCATTGGAATTGATAATAAAGTGTTATAGAAGAACCAAATCATCTTTTATTGGATGATCTTTTTCGTTTCTGACACGAAGCAAGAAGTCACTGAATGTTGGATCTATTCTTACTTTTATATTTCTTGTCATTTGAATATTTTTCAATTGAGGCCATAAGTAATTTTGGCAAGTTAGCTTTTATAATTTCTGTTTTCGTCAATTTTGGAACTATTGATCATACTTGACAAAAATCACCTCCCAAACTATTAATTTTTCACTAAACGGTTCATTAATATCCAATATATCTCTAAAACTCTGGGCGATTGTTCCTATCCTTTGACGCTTAACCAAAAGCGCTTCATCCCATATTATCACTTTTGCTTTCCTTATAAATAGAGCACTATTGTTATGATATATTTTTTATGGTTATTTAAATTATTTGAAGAGGTATATCAAATCTAAAGTGAGTTGTACGGCCTCATAATAAAATCGTTGTTGGTACACCACTTTGCTAACAATATCATGCCTCTAGATCTAATAATTTGTAAGTAATGTATGACATAAGAATATTATTTCTTCCGCCGGAGGCATTTACAAAGGATAATCTCGTTATACCATAGTCGACTTTTTATAATATAGTCTTGAAAGCTTATTCTTATTCAGAATTTAGCTTTGATTGTTCTTCTTCAAACACTTGTATGGCCTTCTTAATATTATACTAATCTTTTTTACTTTATGATCTATTTTTTTTTAATCTCCAACACTCTTTTTATGGAATAAAGTTATGTACCATAATATATTTTTAACTTGAAAATTAATATTACTCATATGATGAATTTAAAAAATAATTTAATTGGATTCTTTTTCTAAATAATTAATTGAAAGATTTGATTATTTCGTTTTAACATAAAAAAAATAATTTATTTTCTGTTGATTCAGATTCTTAACATTAGTTCATCTCATGTTTGAATATTTAACCGTAATTATAGTTTTATCCATCATACATTTTATTTTCAAAGAATAAAAATATCGATATGACATTCGACTTTTAGATCTTTATGTTTTTGCAAAATTATTAGTGATATTGACTCGTACCAACCTTTTTCTTTTTCTTTCTCACATTTATATTCTTAAAAATTTTCTTAGTTGTTCTTTAGTAATTGGGTATATTTTTCTATATTACACGAAAAACTAATAATAAAAGATATTATTTGAGTAGGAAAGCAGTTTCAATATAATATAATAATATATTATCATAGGAATTTTTGGCTCAATTTCAATGCTTTATGCAGTCCGTTTAACATTACTTTTATTTTTTCTTGGTATGCAATATTATAGAATGGTAATATATTGAGTTATTTATTAACGCATGTCTTTTCTTCTAAAAATCCTAACTATCCATCAAATCATTAATACATATTCACTATTTTTTTGCTTTAATTAAACACGTCCTTTTTTGACATGTTTATACTATCGACATAGGTAATTTCGAGATAATGAGATTGAATTCTAACGCTCAGTGGCGGAGCCACCTTATAGGAAGGGGCCTTCGCGGGAAAATAGACTATGTACTTAGGTAAAAAAAAATTATATGTATATATACTATGTGTTGACTCCCCTTAATTTTCTGGTATGTTTACTTTTATATATTTTGACACCCTTTAATAAAAATTCTGGCTCCGTCACTGCTAACACTACTATGATTGCTAACTTGTAGTATTATATGTATATGCCCGAAAGTAATTAGTCTAATAGAATTCCTAAAGGTAATTATGAAGGATTCTTAACGTGTAGTATTATGTCTTAAAACTAATAAAATTACAAGACTAATATCTAAAATTTCGATTATATCCTTTTACTATAAGTTATTATGTCTAATATTATAAGATTATTTTTATAAACCAATATTGTATTCATATTTTTATAATAATATAGATAATATAGATATGTCCATTATCCGGTTAAAATTCAAGGTAGGAGGTTAGATTTCTTGAAAGTTCGTTAAATTTCCCGGCTATTTGTATTTTATTATCGTCCACAGAAAATTATTTAAAATTCCAAGTAGGACAATCTAACATGTATCGTCCACGTGTCAAAAATGTGACCATCAAGTCTATATACATAATAATAATAATAATAGGACCTCTATTAGCTCTTTTTACTCTATTGCTAAGTTAAATTTGAGAAAAAATGGTAGCATCATCTATGGCTGTGGCATCAACAAAATCTACATTTTTCCACTGCGCGTCATCTTCTAGGGAATTTGGATCCAATTTCAGTAGTGGGGTTCCAATAAAGAGTCTTAATTTCCAGTTAAAAAGCAGAAGAAGTAAAGCTAGAAATGATGTTTGTTTGGTAGTATCTGCTACTGGTGCTGGTAAAATTTCTGAAGAGAGCAATGATGTTAGTGGGGGGAGATTTTACCTCAATTTTACTGGATTTCCTTTCCCTCTTGGTCCTTTCCTAAATAGACGCACCATTAGAACTGAGGTAACCATTAGTTTTTTCTTGCAATTATGCTTGCTGTTTAGTGTTTATGTGCCAAAATGGAATCACCTGATTAATCATATTTCATTATTTTAATGATAATTTAATGGATTGAGTATTTTAACCTGCTGTCCGCCTTATTTTGCTGGTCACTAATCTCACTTTTTATAGGCAGTTAGTTACCTATAATTATTTTTTATGGTGTAAAATTTCTTTATAGCAGTTAAACTCTAGTTCTGATTGTCTTTTTTCATACAACTCGATTTACTTCTCTTTGGATTCTTTTGAATTTGTTGAGTCCCACATCGGTAGGTGTGGGAGGCCATTTGTCTCCTTATATGGCCTTGATCAATCTTAGCTTTTGGGTTGAGTCAGACCCAATATCCATTTATCATGGTATCAGAACCACATCCATCCCAATTTATTTTTACTGATGTTGGGCCTCATTTATGTTGTTCACACTCCAGTATGTAGGCCTAGGCGTCAGGGGGTGTTGAGTCCCACGTCGGTAGGTGTTGGAGACCATTTGTCTCTTTATATGGCCTTGGGCAATCTTAACCTCTCATGAGCTAGCTTTTGAGATTGAGTTAGGCCCAAGGTCCATTTATCATAACTGAAGTGTCCTGGTTTAATTTTAGAGATCTTTAAGAGAGAAAGATTAACTTAAACTATGAGCTATAGCTTTAAGGAAAATGAATCTAAAAGTGAATGTTATATCATGTGATCACTTCATCTAAAAGGAAGGTTAAGCTGGTAGGGGAGGGACACATTTATTTAATTGTAGGTCTGCAATACGTCCCTTCATTTTTGGGGTTGACCCTTTCTCCTCGATCAAATATGTGAAAATTCATTTTGATATTGAATGGCGGTGAGACATGGACTCAGTACGTCTCTCTGCTATCTAACTATGTAGTAGTATTTCGTGGCTCTACGTCATTCTTTTTGTTATATTTCAGATCAATTCACCACATTATAGGATGTCTACTATTAAGAGTAACTAAACACCAACATCAACTGTTACTTAGGAATTATGCTGTTCTTGGAACACGGCATAATATGACAAACATATATAAGAAGACATTACAAAACCTAGATACTGAAAAACAATCTTCGACCTGAGGTTCTGTGATGGCTATTAGCTCAGATACTCCAAGCCATACCTGTGCTGGATCCTCCAAAAATAGTGCATTTGCAGGATCTGACATGGTGCAGCCGAAATTGTGGAGGATCCGAGCAACACAGGGTGATGGAATGAAGTGACTTGAGGAAATATACTCATGTCTGCTAGTTCTTTTGCCTCTGTAAAGGCTTAACAGTTAAGCAAAACTCAAAATCTTTTGGAGAAACAACTTTCATGTTTAACTAAAACGGATATCTGGGAGAAATAACAAGTTTCGCTAATAAAATTACTGGCGGGTGTATTATCATAATGAAATATACTGCATTTAGGACTCCGGATTTGGACTAACTAGAACAGTCTTAATTTACCTGTCTTTTGAATTGTTATATTAGGCGATTGATAGAAATAGCTCGGCATTGTAATCTTCAGAAAAGCTGTATGTATATTCAGAGAGAGTACTTCCGTATTGTGCTACTAACACTTCTTCATCATTAGTATCTCAGGTTGTCAAAGACAGAATATGGTTATTTGAGCAAGAGCAAGCATTGGGATTCAGCAGTGTTTCAACAAACATCAGAATGACTGTCATCAAACTTAAATCTGGTGAATTGTGGGTTCATGCTCCTATTGCTCCAACCAAAGAGTGTATTCAGGTAACTCTAAAGCCATCATTGTCAGCTATCCTTGTTTTTCAATAGATTGGATTTTGGATGATATTTTCTTAGTATTTCAAGGATTGAAATGACTAGAAATTATAGGGGTTCTTTCTTTTTTTATTTTTGTTTGACGAAGTTGATAGGAGGTTTTGTTTACTGGTGGTTTTGATCCGACTATACACATGCTTTACTCTTAAAAGAATTTAAGATTTGGGCACTAACAGTGCATAGATTTTTATATTACCAGACAAATAGAGTAATCACCTGTTGTAGCCAATTAAAATGAGATGATCAGTGTATATAACTTAAATCCAAAAAATGTTGATGTTTACAAGTGTGTTTTCCTTTTGCAGCTCGTGAAAGAGTTAGGTTATCCAGTGAAATATATCGTCCTTCCTACATTTGCATATGAACACAAAATATTTGTTGGCCCCTTTTCCAGAAAGTTCCCGAAGGCTGAGGTATGGGTAGCACCAAGGCAATGGAGTTGGCCTTTAAACTTGCCTCTTGAGTTTTTTGGGATTTTCCGCGCAAAAACACTAAAAGATGAGGATATGTCGACACCATGGGCTGATGATATTGAGCAGAAGGTTTTGAGCTCTCCAGAAGTTGGTAATAGACTCAGCACTCTCATAATTTCGAATTATGCAGCTGTACCTTGTACTTCAAATCTAATAAACTTTTGCCTATCGGGTTTTAGGAATTGGACCATATGTTGAGGTGGCTTTCTATCATAAACGGTCAAGGACGCTGCTGGTGACAGATGCTGTGATATTTGTCCCGAAGACTCCACCTGAATGTATTAGCAAAGAATCCTTGTTAGCATCTGCAGAGAATGGTTTGGCTGTTAAACTACTTAGTAAAGGAAAAGAAGTCTCTGATGAACCTGTTGTTGACAACAAAATCAATCGACAAAAAGGTTAGTCCTCTACTGATAACGAAGAAGTTGATGAACGCCTGAATTGTGTGAAAATCTCATCTAAAAGCATATTAAGCTGCCTGCTCAGATATTAGAGGCTACACTTTCATATACTTAATAATATTTTCAATATGGAAGTTCTCAGCATAAACAATGATCCAAGAAATTGCTCGGTAATTTGCTTTATCTGTACTTTCTGCATTTTTTCAGGATGGGAGAGGATGGTTCTTCAGATTTTGTTTCTAGGTCCATCAAATCTTCTGGAGCCAACTGCTAGCTTTGCCCAGATGTCACAAAAGCTAATTGTTTCACCAATTGTTAAAACATTGGTTTTCAGCAAAGTTCCTGAAAAGGCAAGTCACCTAGTACTCTCTTCATTTACGTGAGTAATACAGTATATATCTTCTTATTGTGTAATCAATAAGCTAATCTCTGGTGTAGCCTAACACTCAGCATTTTTCTAATTGAAATCAATGCAACTGTGTTTCGAGAGAGCAAAATTTTATTTACTTAAAATTATATTACGTCTCAAAAACCTTACTAATATATATTTTTTTGCTTTTTCGATAGTCGTGAGATTGGAACTTAGGAACTCCTCTGCTACCATGTTGAAGTGTATTACCATATCATCTAAAAACTTAAACTGTAAGAGCGAGCACGCTTTATTTACTTATATTATATGATTTCTCAACAGCTACCACATATCTTTAGATTAGAGTGGCCTACAACAGTTTGGTCCATTCATCATCAGAGGAGAAGCAACTAAGACCCTTTTCCTGCTAGAAAAAAGTGTAGGAGTGTGTACTTTTGATTGTCTGCTTTCCTCTATTCTTCTGATAATCTGGTGTACTCCTTAAAACTTCAGGTTAGAGATTGGATTGACAGCATAGTTCGAGACTGGAGATTCACGAGAATTATCCCTGCTCATTTTTCAGCTCCCATAAATGCAAGCAGGTCGGATTTGTTAGCAGCATTTGCATTTCTTGATGATCTCTTGGGCGAGCGTTATGTCACTCGGCCTTCTCTCTCGCTTCTCTTCACTTCGCTATTAGGAAAGGCTGCAAGCTATTTTCCTCCAGATGACATGAGGACCCTATCATCCCTGGATCAATTCTTAGTGTCTGTTGGAGCAGTGAAGAAAACCGTCTCAGGTCGTAAAAGATGACAGAAAATATACAAATGTACACTAGTTGTTAGTATTGGAAATGCTTTAAACGATGAAAGCAAAGCGTTTTACACTTGAAGAGTAAAGAAATTCTAATCATAGCTTAATAGTAACCACGAGAGTTTAGCTTGACTTTGTGCACCATATATTTACAATTGAGCTCTGAGCTCGAATCCCCCCAGTATAACATTGTCAACACTTGGCAATACATCTTAATCAAAGTGAAAATTAGCAAAACCTATAGTATCTTTTTAAGTTACTATAATTACAAGAAGTGGCACAACACCAAGATAATAAGCCTGAAACTACATGACTAACAAGATAAATGCATCCCGGCTCAACTATCTGAAATAGTTTTCAAGTCAAAGTGCTCGAGTGACACAAGGCAGCAGAAGAGCTGCAGCTCAAAAAAGATGGGACTACTGAAATTGGACGCATCAAATATGCTGCTGGTTATCATCTCCATCTCCAGTTTCGTCAGTGAAGTCTAAGCCTACGATACTCATCTTGCCAACGTTAACTGCAAGTTCTAACTGTTAGGAGTGTGGCAGAGAAGATAAGAAGGGTAGAGAGAAATCACTTCCAAGCAACAATAAAATAAGCTTAACACTGGATTTGCAAATAAGACACCAACCAGACATAGTTAAATTTTTATCTGTACCTTTCCGTCGAGGAAAGATGGCTTAAGTAGGGTCTGGATGTAATCTGGTCAAATTAACACAGAGAGTTGTTCGGCTGATTCTTAAATCAAAACCAACTCCAAAAAAGCTTCATATCTAATTCGGTAGTCGCAGAGATTTATGCAGAAGGTCTTCATTTAGCCAGTATTCAGGAGGCAAAAGAAAAATAAATAAATAATAAATAAAGGACGCATTAACAGGTAAATATCTCAAAAGATACCCAAGGATCACCAAGAGTTGCAGGAAAGAAGGAAAAATAAGTCAAGCACAGTACGATTTTGATGAGATCAAGATCAAATTGTTTATCCGTGATATGGCAGTCGAAAAAAATATTTCAACCATTCTTAGCATGCTGCAGATCATAACAGGATTCACACTTTCAGAACATAATACTACAAATTGGTGCAAATAATGGTAAAATTTCCAGGTTGGTGTTTAATTGAGGTAAAGATTTGACAAGCCTCCTTCCCTTCTTTGGGTTTTCCCTTCTTAGGAAAAAGAAGGTGCAAGAGGGACAGTAAATGTTGAACTGGCACGAGGAGAAAAACCTGGCAGTCTAAAACTGTTGTTTGATATAAATATAAGAAAAATAGTTTGAAATAAAATTGCTGGGCCATAACTAAAATGATTAGAGAAAGGCAAACACCGTTTTAGGTTCATATTACGATCAGAAAGAGAAATCTTGCGCAGTGTAAAATAATAGGAATATGGTAACTTTACCAACAGCATCAATCCCGGCTAATTTGGGCATGAACTTGTTGATATGGTCCTCAGCTGCTTTACCTGCTTTCAGTGTCTCACACTCGAAAGAAACAAGAATCTTGTGCTTCTGATCCTTCTGGTCAACCATATTCACAACATCGTCCTCCCATCTTGTGACAAGGAAATACAAGCCAATTAGAAAAGTATAATGAAGAGAAGCCTTTAACTCATATAGCCAGCCTTAGCCATATGTTTGACGATCATTTCTGCTACATGAATATGCTTCTTCACGGCTATATTCCCTTGAACCTATTGTACTCATTTGAATCGTCTATTTCATGGCCCTCAAAAGTTGTCTTTCTAAAAATAACATTCTTTTTAAAAGATAGAGAAACTAAGGTTTAGAGTTCTAAAGTGCAGCTAATAGGTTCGGAAGATGACTCTAGTCCATACAATAATAGGTTCCGAAGATGACTGAGCAAAAGCATTATAGGGTGTGTACAGGTTTGCCGATAAAAAAATTGAATGGATTCAAGTAGAGTTTTCTCAAATGCAAAAAATTGCTTCCATTTCCATCCTAGTCCAATAGCGCGGACTAGAATAAACACTAGAAGAACTCTAAAAGGTTTCACACAAAAGAAGGTATATATATTTTTCTCTACAGAGAAACCCTTACGATTAAAGCAAGAACGTTCATTTCTAAAACAGTCTTCCAGTAAATCTCAGACTACTTACCCATGAGCATGGTCAACGTTATGTATCCTAGCAGCATCATGTCCTCTGCACTCCACTATGACGTCCCTTTTTCTTTTTTTCTACGATACACCACAAGTAAGGAAATAAGAAAGATCAAGTTTTGCTGATCACACGCCGGTAAAATCGCTAAGCTAACAAGTTAATTACAAAGAAATAATGGTAATATGATTGGAAGAGAACCATAATTAATGGCTCTTACATTGTAGTCAATTATTGTGAGCTTGACCAAGCGGTAGTCCTCGCCCCTGCTGCATTCCCTTTCGCAAACCATCTCTTTCAAGGAGAAATAGAATTAGTTCAAAATCCGATTGAACACCTCATATTTGATACATAGATACACTAGAAGTGATCTAAACCTATGTCAACTACGATAAAGGAGGGTCACACTAGGTTGACGACCAGTATAAAAATAGTTTAACCATGACAAATCCTACGAATACAGAATTTGTAAAGAGCCAGAACGTGCTCAACTAGACACACGCTACATATAGTGGGAATAGATGCAAAAGATTTGTATGACCATAGTAGATATTTATAAGTGACCTCAATTCACCTTTCTTCTGGAACCTAATTTAATTACTTCTACTGTATCTCAATTAGTAGATTGATTAGAGATATAGTAGAAGTAACTAAATTAGGTTCCAGAAAAAAGGTGAAATAGAAGGGAGAGTTGAAACACAATTTAACTTAACTGTTCCACTTTAGTCCATAGAAAAGTTCACAAGTAAGATATAAGAAGATTTCAAAGTTAATGACATGTGTTATAAACCCAAACAACTATTTCATTTTCTCATAGCAATGATATCCGGGCCAGCTTGTAGGCATCTCGACTATTCCATCGAATACCTTCTACTTCCAACCTGGGTGACTCTGCCCAGCAAGACTTAGCATCTCGACAATTTTCCATGCTACCTCCTACCAGTACAAGTATCATATAACTTTGCCCAACAAGACTTAGGCAGATAGAAATTAAATCACCTAGCGTTTATAAACCCTATATTTAAAAGACCCAAATGTACTTTTTTTTATTTTATGATGGTGATTTCTGAGCCAATGCCCACACCTTACTATTCCATCACAAGTCTGCTACCTCCCACTAGCACAGGTACCAAGTAACTTTGTCCACCAAGGCTTAAGCAGAACGGAAGAAATCAACCTAGTATATTTTGTCTCAGGTGGAGTCCGAACCTAAGACTCCATGATTTTCCATCCACTTTATTGACCAATAGGTGACACCAAATGTACTTAAGCGAAAACCCTAACCCTCATCAGTGGACAGAGCTAACCATTTCATTTCATGTGCAACTCGTGAGAGGTAACAAGTATCCAATAGATTAGTCGAAGTGTTATTTCGAACAAAAAAAAAATAACAACCTATGCATTCCAAATGAGGAAAAGTAGATATATGATTTGTGACAAATTGAGTAATTATACCAGTGCCATGGAGACCATAACAGATAGAATGGGGAAGATGAATGAAGTGACCCGAAATTGACCCGTTTTCTAGAAGTGCTATTGATGCTACCCCTTCCATAACTTTTCCTTCCATTTCTTCTTCACCTGTAAGTATTAAAAAGTAGTTGTTTATATTAATAATAAGTATTAACTTTAAAAGAGCAAATCTTATGCACATACAAAGTTGATTAAACTTTTTACCCATTACTGCTGCTGGAGCTATGGTGAACGTGTGACTGTGTGAGAGAGCGTGGGTAGCTGGAGCGGTGGAAGAGGACTGTTGATGGGCCTGTAGAAAAAGGAATGGATCTAAAANTATATATACTATGATAGAAATTTATTTACCTATTTTCTTTAGGTTTTGTAGTTTTCAATAAGTATCTAGATTTTTTTTACAAATTGTATATATCCCTTCTTAAAAGGCTCTCACCCCATTATTAGTGTCTTCAATTAAGGGATTCAATTAAATTCTTTCCTTTTTTTTTCCTCTCCTCTTCTCTCTCCTTTTTTTTTTCCTTTCCCTGATTTTTTCAGTTTGTTTGCCTAACACACTCATTCACATATTGGTCCATTTGAAGACCAAAAATACATATGATTCTCGAGCATACATACATACAATTTCGGATTTTAAGATTTTGTGATTTGTGTTGATTGGATGTTCTAGCAAGTGATTGAGAATATCTTTTGGAGGTTATATCTCAATTTTGAGGGAGATTGGTTAAGTATAGAGTTGGTTTTAGGTGAAAACTCATATTGAAATTCAAAGAAGAAGAAGAACTTGCAGGAATTGTATAATAATTGTATCATAATTGTATCTGATACATCAATACATGATCACGTTTAACTATGCCTTATACAAAGGACTAAGCGGTCGTTGCAAATATAATCCGATTTGTAAGTCCGGAGTCGAATCCCACAGAGAACTAAGGCTTAGCTACAGTTGTTCAATATTGCTAAGAAACACAAGTCCAAACAATCTCCTAATTATAGAGATTATAATATTTATTTCTAACTAATTAACTAACAACTATTATAAAGCAATAAAATTATCAACTAACGAGAATGAAATTTGAGACAAGACTAAGGAGGTCTAGAGTTATGATTTTTTCAATTTTCGGAATCCTTCCCGCTATGCCTTCTATAATTTCGCCTAAGTATTTTCTACCGATCGTGAGTACTTCCGGTGTCATAATTCTCTTCCGAGCAACTACCATAATTTACTAGACATATTCTTTCGAACTACGCTAGCTGGCACTAGTTTACTGCTCACTAAGATCACACTAAGGTTTCGTTATTCTTAATCCCACCTTTAAAACCTTCGCATTGATTCCTCACATACGTCAGGAGTGATGTTGTTCAACAACTACCTAAATATGTACCATTTTCAGCAATACATACTAAATAGGCACAGTAAATTGATGGCCATTCAATCAACAACAATAAATACGTAGTTGAACAAGTAGAGAAATCCAACGACTCAACTATATAAAAATATAGCAAAAAGTTATCCTACAAAAGTAACTATCAAAACTCTAGATA